AGAGAGAGAGAGAGAGAGAGAGTGTGCGAGAGAGAGAGAGAGAGAGAGACAGAGATAGAGAGAGAGAGAGAGAGAGAGAGAGAGAGAGAGAGAGAGAGAGAGAGAGAGAGAGAGAGAGAGAGAGAGAGCGAGCGCTGAAAAAAGTAAGCCTGTGTGCACAGTGTAAAGGCAAGGCGCGTGGGATGAACCAATCAGCGAAGCGAGAAATTAGTCTTACACTGGCAGGCTCATTTGGCAACAGCGGTGAGCTCTCCGTCACGTGCGAAAGTATTTCTGCTTTACCCGCTGTGCCCACGTAACCTTTCTTTCGGCGGCCTGCCTGTAGGTAAGTTGTAATATATTATATAGTTCCTCACGTTGGTTGAAAAATACCCCGCTTGGATTTTTTAAAAATAAATCCTCAGCCAGCCAGCCAGCCAGCACGAAAAGCTGAAAGATCTGATGTATTGTTCCTGTGTTATTTTTAAAATACTGCTTTGTCCTCTTGTTAAAGCCTTGTCATTTTTGCTTTCTTAATTTTTTATTCTGTTTTTCTGTCTTTCACAGACTTTTCCCCTTCTCTTTTTTTCTTTTTGTTGTAATTGCCCGTTCCCTCACTCTTTTGACCTTTTTGAAGTTCCCCGTATGAGCAATTTCATTGCTTCTTTGGCTGCTTCTCTGTCTTTTTTCTTTAGTTTTCTTTCTTTTTAAGTAAATGTCTTTTTTCAGGGTTTTTTATACGCGTGGGCAGGAACGAGTCAGACAGTTTATGCTTTCGTATAATATATATTTTTTCTGTTCCGATTGCACAGCGAGTAAATGTCGATGGGTCGTCGGTGTGTAATAAATGTTGATCTTGATGAGTACCAGAGGTGTAGGACTGCGGCGGTAAAAAGCTAACGTCTGTTTCAACATTTACAAAGCCTTTGATTCCTCGCGAACTGTCGATACATAAGGATTTCTTCACACGATTTTTTTGTTTTGTTTGTTGGTTTTGTTTTGCTTTTGTTTCTTAACGGTAGAAACAAGCGTCTGCGAACTGACACATACTGATTTTTTCGCATGTTTTCTTTTTGTTTGTTTTGGCTTGGTTTGGTTTTGGTTTTCTGTCAACGTTAAGAACAAACGTGCATGAATCTATCGCATTTTCTCACCTGTAGGCCCAAGAAGATCGTGGTTTTTATATTTCATTTCGAGATTTAGATTCGAGTCTTATAAGTCCCCCTTTCACAATACAAGCAACGTGATCTTTGGGCAAAGTAGTTAGAATTTAATATAATAATGCCTTTTTCATACACTAGTGATATCTTTCTTGTTGGTGTCAAAAATGGTTTTGCAACTTGGCTAACTGATGAACTTATCTTACCCAATGATAATGAACAGGACGATGCCACTTTATTAGTTGTAGAATAAGTCCAGGAATTCTGATTTTTATCCATTCAAATTGCCCGTCATTACCCACAATTACACTGAAGATAGTGAAACAGAAAACTTTGTACATTATATGTAGAATTCAAAATAGACCGCAGATCTCCATACGGTGATTTCGTTGGTTTGTGTGTATGAGGGAACAGCGTACCCTTGACTTCGACAGAGTTAAAACCAAAGCCAACATGGCTGTAATAATCATTAATAATTGTCTTTTTTTTCTCTTTTGCCATTTCTATAAAAATCAATGACGGCAATATCGCTCGCACATTTATGCTCGGACTTGTCTTCTTTTTTTGTGTGTGTGTTTTACAGCGCTCGCAACTACATAAGGTCATATGAGCGCGCGGGACACACCTAATACTTTTAGTTGGTAGGAATTTTGAATTTTGCCCGGGTGGCGGCCGAAGCCTACTCTTATCGATTTTAGACCACCAAGGGATCTTTAAAGTGGGCAACTTGCACACGGGCCCTCCGAGATTTTTTGCCCTTGTCCGAGAAGGCTAGGTGTAGATCTTTCCTACCAGAAAATGAGGGGTGTGGCAGAAAGACAGCTGTAAGAAGGAGTCAAGGAGTAACAGTAGAAAGGCTGCAGAAAGAGTCAGGAGCCCAGAGGATGG